TAAGCAAGCCAAGAGAAAGGGAGATAGAACTGATCACTCTTTCCTATTAGCTATTTGAATCTATGGTTCCCTTGGCCTCATTAGAAGTCCCCCATAGACAGCTCAAGATGAAAGTCCACATGAGGCTCTATTAGCCCACTAACAAATACATTAAAGTCTAGGAAACTATGAATGCCATTCACATTACATCCAGAATGTATGTATGTATGTATGTATGTATGTATGTATGTATGTATGTATGTATGTATGTATGTATATATATAATCTTTAGGATCAAGATTTCTTTTGAGGGTGAGGGTGTGCAGATTGTACAAACAACTTTTTATGTCTAATCAAATAGATATTTCCTACAATGGAAGACAAGCAGAATGTCATCACTTTTATTAAAATTGAAAAATATCTATCTAGCTTAGGTTGGTGTTTGAATTAGTTGCTTAAAGGAATAATTTACTAACCTTGTTCTGGGTGTCATTTTTGTGGGTGACAATAGCCCTTCAGAAAATTTGCTGGGATTCTTCAAAGGTGAGACATAGATGTTATTTCCAGCAGAAACACGTAAAGGAGAATTAGAAAACTTATAAGGGCTCTGTAGAATGTGAGGAATGGGTGTTAATGTTGGAGGCTGGAAGATGAAATTTTAAATTAGCGCTATGGGGATTTGTCAATTTTTATTGAGAAATATTCATTAGAGGATAGATGCATAATTACTTACCCTATTGGAAGCATATTGCAAAATATTAGTTTTCAGTCTTTGCATAAATACCATGTTGTAGAAGACGATAATGGAATCGTATTGTCCTTCCCTGATCAACACACACTTGAATGTCTAGATGAAATTGATTAGAAATTTAAGCATCAGCCCTCTATAACAACTTCTTCCAGTAGCTATATCTGTTTGTGATATCTCTGTTATACTTAATTTGTACAGGATTTTCCTTCTTTGGAAAATTCTCATGCTCACACTCCCTCCCCCAACAATGTTAGCTTCCTTAACCTGATGATGATTTATTCAGAAAATGTTTGGGCCTGAATGAATTAAAAATATAATGAATAAATTACTGTTCAGTGAATTTCACTTTTTTTTTAATCATCCTTTTCAAATGTTTTAGACAGGTGGTATGCTGAATAAAATATGAGGGACGTATTTTTAACTGGCATCTCATGCTTGGATATAGTGATATACTGATTAATGTTGACATTATACTTAGTTTTTGACCACATATTCATTTAGAATTTTGAGAACATGTGGCATTCTTGCAAAATGAATAATCTGGCGAATATTTCTCACTGCTAGCAGAAAGGCAAGTTAATAAAATTGTTTCCTGCCACAACTGCTACAAGATGTCAGAGATAACATCCATAAATCAGTGATGTCTAAAAGCTTCTGGTTGTTTACTATTGTTGCAAAGGTACTCAAGACAAAATAAGAGTTTTAATACAAATAATGCTAAAAAGAGTCCCATACCTCTTGATTTGCATTGTTGAGTTCCTTGTATGCTGTCACAATAGTTTTAAACCTGAGATCAATATTCTTCACCTTACATATGCCATACATGGAACACATCATAATCTGTTTAAATACAGAGAGGAGCCATCAAAATTCGTCATTAAAAAAAGTTCAGCCCCGGCTTTTCAGGAATGGAAAAAGCTTTGAGACCTTAGCTATTGGAGCTAATTTAATTTAATTTTAGTTTAATTTTGAAAATATGTAAAGTTTATTTAAACAGTTGAAATAACAAACATAACAAGGTAATAAAATTATAAGAATAATAAAACTATGGAATGTTAAATACCATTTTAACAAAAAAAAACCAAAATCTTTTAAACATTGTACTCCAAAAAAATTGGGGCAGCAACCTGAGAAAGGTTCATGTAGATATTTAACATGAGAAATAGATATGGAGCATCAATTATATGCCAAACTTGGGAACGATATTGAATCCTTTAGTTCCTAAATTTACCACTCTAAATAGGGATACTAGCTTTCAACGATAAATAATCCTGAAGGAACCTAATGGATTCATACTCCCTCTAATCTTGTCTCACCATTTGTGTGTTACTGCTTGTTTCTCACATACTTTGGCCATGTCATGCGGAGGAATTCACTGAAGAAAGCAATTATGTTTGGAAGAGTTAGCAAAAAAGGAAACCTGGCTGTCAAAAGGAAACATTTGCTGGACACCATCAAAGCCGTCAGCAGCCAGAACACAGAAAAGCTCAAAGCAGTCCAAGATTGAAAGATGTGGAGAGATCTGGCCCACAGAACTGCCAAGAGACGAACATGACTGAAGGGATAACAACATCATTTCTTTTTGCTTGCCTATCATCAAGTTTCTGATAGGCCTAAAGCAATGTAATGTAACATAATGTTATGTAAAATTGCCATTGTTTAAGCATGGAAAAATCTAAATGAAAAAAAGTAAAAGAGTAAAAGAGCCCATCCAGTCAAATATATTACCTGGTCTAAGTGTCTGTCTTTCATCAGTTCATATTCATTTTGCAGTGTGTGATGAAAAAGGGTCCATATCACATGTTCAAGTTCAGGATGGTCAGGCAGAAGACGCAAACACAAGTTATTTAATCGTCTATAAGCCAAGCAATACACTGGAGGAGAGAATTGTTTATAAATTATAAACAAGGTCAAATCAATATTTATATTTATACAGACACAGGGAGATAATGTAATATAATGTACAGAATAATTTAAGAGTTTACTCCAGGAATATAACAAGGTGTATGTGTTATTTTAATCACACCAAAAATTATATTAGCTTGTACAAAGATAGCATATTTATTGAGAAACAATCACTTTTGAGAATGGTATAGAAGCTCTTTTCTAATAACTCTGCTGTGATTTCAGCAGAAGTGTTTTTAGTAATCTGAGATCATTGCTTGAATTTGCAGGAACATATTAGGAATTAGTCATATATAATAATGAATTAATGTTTTAATTTGGTAAAACTATATGTATCCTCTTTCCCTGAAAATAAAATCTTCCCAGATAATAAGCCCAATCAGGCCTTTGAGTGCATGTGCTAAAATAAGCCCTCCCCTGAAAATAAGGCCTCTTCGAAAATATTGTAATACAGCAGCAGCCATGAGGTGACTACGCTCTCCGCCTCCTGCACCTGAAAAATAACAAGACCCCCCTGAAAATAAGGCCAAGTGCTTATTTCAGGGGTCAAAAGAAAATAAGACTCTGTCTTGTTTTCAGGGAAACATGGTAAGAAAATTGTGTGACTCATGTCATGGGCAGGTAATTTACAGAAGATATCAAGAAATGCATTAAAATGTTTAAGAAATATTGATAATTTACATAATGATATACTTCAGGACTATTTTTAAATTGCAAAAAAGTTAGTGGTAAAGGGAGGCAATGCATTAACTTAGAACCAAAACATGCCTGAAATATCTGTTCCGTCTCCAGTCCTTCCCTCCAGCCAGAAGTAGCTTTTGCCAGGCAAAAAAGACTGGCACGGGAGACTTCCTTGTGCAGTTGGCTCACCTGCCCCCTCACCTGCTACCTTCATGATTTACTCTAGATCAGGGATGTCCAACCTGGCAACTTTGGATCTCAACTCCTAGAAGTCTGAGAGTTAAGGTCCACTAGTCTTAAAGTTGCCAGGATTGGACATCCCAATCTAGATTCAACAAGAGATAATGTTGAAAAATAGTTTGCGAGCTGCACTGGTTACTGAATTGGTCTCCGGATACGCTTCAAGGTGCTAGTCGTCACTTATAAAGCCCTTCATGGTATTGGACCTGGGTACTTGAGAG